AGGAGGTGTGTTAGCCTCAGAATAAATTTTTGGCAGCAGCCATTGAACTGTGAGCTGAAAGTGCAGGAAATACGTAGCTCTGTGCAGTTTGAGCAGGAAAGATAAGGAAAGTGAAATACATCGTTGGACTCAAATGGCTTGGGTTTCTTGTCTGGTGCTGCTGATGAATTGAAAACAAATTATTTATTTGGCTCTGTATTTTTAGTTCCTAAATGGTTGGTTTTTTGGAAGTTCCACCAGTGCAGTAAATAATACATGCTTAGTTTGTATTGGTTTTATTTGAAATCTTGCAAGGGGATTGATGATATCCATGTGGTCTGATTTTTTTCATGTAAGTAAATGGTGTGAATTGCCCTGTGTTCTTTTTCAGCACATGGTATTGAACGGAAGGAGGATAATGGAGGAAAAGTTCATTTCTTCAGATTTGAAAATGACGGAGTGCATTAAGCATTCTAGACACTCGTACAGAAAATTAGTATCCTGGATGGAAATTATCCTGTACTATGTAGAAATTCGGGGTTTAAGCAGACTGCCTTTAAGTAATAGATAGCAGAGTAGCCACTGTGGGCTGCCCTATGGATAAGAAAGGAGGAAAATTGACTGTTCCTTTCAAAATAGAAAGTGCAAGAAATAGTAAAGTCAGGCACATCTTCAGCAATATGGCACCTCCTACTCTATTCAGTGTCACTGTCTCAGCTCCTGCTGTGGCCCTCTGAATCTGTAGGTGGAGATCCGCAATGATCTTCAGTGATACGTAAATAAATAGGAAGTTTCTTGCTCTGCATGACCAGAGACTGGCAGTGACTATGATGAGAACAGGAAAACCCCTCCAGGCACTTTGGATCTCTTAATACCTTGGCTCTTGAGAGCAAAATATTCATGCAACTAAACACAAAGACAAGGAATGGGGGGTCTTCTCTGTAGCCCCTCTGTTCTCTGTCTGGGAAAGCAGTGGCTGTGACAAAAAGCTGATGCAGTCCTAGAATTCATGACAAACCATAGACTTGTGGTTTTTACCTCCGCATAAGCTATGCGAGACCTGCAGTGCTATGGTACATATGGGACTGATGTTAGCACTTGTAAACGGCTTAGGAAAATGAGATGGGACTCTAAAAGCTCCCTGAACAGTTTTGAGAACTGCAGAAAATGCCTAACCAATAGAGCTTTGCCTCCTTGCTGCTTAGCTTATTATCAAAAGGAAGATTGGGAGGTAATTTGATTAGTGTGCAAACTACTTGCTCAGGGAGGAAATACCAGGTTGCCAAAGAGATCTTTAATCTAATGGAGACAGGCATAACAATACTGATTGTGAAAGCTGAGGCTGGATGACGAGGATAGAAAATTAGACCTTGAATTTTTTTACTAAAGGGGTTAATGACCACTGACACAAACTACCGAGCATGGTCATGAGTTGCCCACATTTGTAGAGCATCCATGTTAGCCTCCCTGTGCTACTGGGCTAAACACTGAGTTAGGGAAGGGGAAATCCTGTCAGCTGCATTAGTAAACTGGGCCAAGTGTAGTCCCCACCAGTCTTGCTTTCTGCGGCTCTAAAACTGGGCACTCAGCAGTGGGACAAATGGAGAGGACTGGCCTGAGGCAGGTGTGGTGCTGGCAGCTGTTTTGCTAGCTTCAGTTTTGTCACTGCACAGCCCTTCTGACTTGAACACCTCAGAAATGTTCCAGTCGGGAGAACTGACCTCTCCATCTCTATTTATTCCTTATAAAACAAACAAAACAAAACAAAAACAAACAAACAAAACCCCAAACTATTTAAACTCTCTTCTCAACAATAATTATTCCTAATTATTGAACACTTCTAGTTCTAGACTCTTAAAGAATTGTAATCAACTGAGACTTTACAGTCAGCAAAGTTGTATTAAAACATGTATCCTCATTTTAAAAACCAGGAAACTGCCGCAAGTAATTGTTGTCTCACCACAGCAAAGTCTATGAACACTCACCTGACAGTTAACTGGTCAGCTGGATGTTTAAGTACTTTGCCAAATCTTGGGGTCAGTGACTGGCAGAGGCAGAAGCCAAACTAAATCCTCATGGTAAAAACCAAAACCCCTAGATTTATCTGCTGAACTCCCACAGTATTCTTCAAAATGGTACAGGACCATCATCCTACTAGTATGTACACATGCAAGGAGCTGCATCGGCTGTGGCCATCGTAGTCTTCAGCAGTGATTTAGTATTGTATCTTCTGCAGGAAACTATGTGGCTTCCGTTTTAACGTTTTGTCTTTTATTGTCCAGATGAGCACTATGCCAGGACTTCCTACAAGACCCTGTTTCTATGATATAGACTTGGACCCAGCGTCAGGAGAAGTAAATGGGCTCTTTTGAAAGGAATTACTAACTGAAGGTAGGTGCCCTATTGAAGGCTTTCAATATTTGGGCTTTATTTCTCATCTTGAAATAATGGAGTTAAGCCAATCTCATTATGCCATATGTTTCCAAATGACATTTGATTTATAATTCAGCCTGAAAGTTGCCTGCAGTACTATATAATAGTAATTAAATTTATTTTTCTTTTTAGCTCCCAGAAGAACACCTCATGAGTCATGTAAACGGAACTATGCCCTGATACTTTTTTTTTTTTTAAGTCGAAACAAGATATGACTGAGTGCAAGAAGTGACTGGAAGGAGGAGTGCTAAAGAATCAACCACTAACTTTTAATCTGTAATAATTTTTAAACTGCTGTGTTCCAAGCTAGTTGACACTGACCATATAAAGCAAACATGCTTCCTCTACAAACCTCCTGCTTCATAATTGTAGCTGAAGCAGAATACCGAAGCTTGGGTTTAGTGACCTCTTTTGATTCGTTGACATGATTTTAATAATTAAAAATCCTAAAGCTGGAGCTGTTTGAAACAGTCTTGGGACTTAATTGTCTTAACCATAGGGGTTTTGTAGAATTTATTATCTTTGAAAGTCTTGTACACTGCATATTCCTATGTGCCATACTGAATTCCATATTCCACTTCTCGCACTGTGGGAGAAACTGTTGTGCTCTGAAACTGCACCAATGTCATTTAAAAGAGGGAGCAAGGAGGAATTGCCTTTGCTTCTCATCTCTCTCCAGAAATGCTTACCCTGGCTTCTGCTGTGAATTATTCCTGCAGGCACCTGAGCCATGTCAGATTTCCCTTTTAGAAAGCTCAGCTGTGACTACCATATTCTACTGTTAGTGGAAATCCAACCTCTGGATATCAGACCTGCAGAGACTGGGTCTCTGGCCTGTATCTGTGGCTTTTACCAAATGTGTCTTTGAACCATTTTATGCTGAGCAATAAGTACGGTTACACAGTTGATGAGTCTTCTTTCCTAAAGTACCTTTTGGTGAACAGAGGCAATGTGAGTAGTGATCAAGTAATTTGTAGCAGCTTTTGTCAACAGGCCAAAAATCATTTTGTAACATAAAAATACAGTTCCTGACGATTTTTTAACTAACAGAAATAAACTGGTAAATACTTGAAGTGCTTTTGGGGTTTTAATGCATGCACTGAGATTATTGACATAGAACTTATTTCTGTGATTAACTATACACAGCAGCAATCTCTCATATTGACATCTAGAAGTGATTATTGCAGTAATAAGTTGCCTGCAATGCACCACTGTGTGTGTGCGTGTTCAATCACTTCCTTTCCTGGATGTTGTATTCATCTATAGGAAATAAACTACCTGAATTATTCCATGGATTTAAGACACTCGCAGCTGACTGCAAAAGATCTGAATTAAGATTTGCAAGGCCCATCTGCTTGCATCAGAACTGAATCTAAAAACATTCTGATTTTGGTGAGAACTGGGAGAATCGGGATCTAGGTGTGCACCAATGTAAGGGTGCATCGGCAGTACACAGATACTGTATGAAGAGAGTGAGAGAGAGATCTATATTGCTGAAGTTATTCAGGAGGGAAGAATAATTACATAAAAATTACCTGGTTGTCACAGAAGCAAAGACAGAATAGCTTAAATTGTCGTAAGAGCGTTCGAAATGCATTCACAGCCTCCTAAAATTTTCTTTCTGATGGTATTCAGCTGAGGAGTAGCAGCCAGGTTCGCCAGCGCACACACAGGCCCCTTGCAGGGGGTGGGAAGGGGTGTTCCCCAGTGGCTGCCCCAGACCCCGAGCCTGGCTGAAGGTGCCTCGTTCCCTGCGGCACCTCGGCCAAGCCTTCCCTTGAAGCAGGTTGCCAGAGCTGCTGCTGCCAAGTCTGCTGTCAGTTTCTACATTTAATCTTCCCTGCTACACTGCTTTCCTGCGAGTGCTCTGTGTTCCACCTTCATTTTATGCTTATGAAAGATGGGATAAGTGCAAATTTATGCTAAGATTAGCCTCCTTTTAGTTTAGCATGAGATCATAGCCATGTGCTTGAGAGAGACGGTTCAAGAGGTTGCGAGCCCACCTCCTGCCGTGAGGCAAAGCGGTGGCTCAGGCATGTGACTGTTTTCAGGGTTTGCTGCACACGGTGGGACTGGTGGCAACAAAGCATAAGGGCCAAAAAATAGCCCCAAGCATCTCTAGAGGTTAATGGGGAATGCTTTTCTAACCTGCGCTTTCAACCTGTTGGGATGGGAGCTCTCCAGTGTCCCTACTGAAGGTCTTGCAGGGCTGATACATAAATAGGTTGTTTTTTCTTAACTCTCTCCTTTGCAACTAAGAATGCTGGAGAGTTCTTGCCCTATCAAATAGGACACAAAGGACACTTAATTTCTTCTAACTGAATATTGGAAGGTTGTCTTCCTGTTGCCTAGAGAAAAAACTAATTATGTACAAATTTGTTCTTTGTGTGCCCAGAGCCCTTAGCTGGTGTTATGGCCATGTGCTGCCCCAGCTGTGCTGTAAAGAGAGTCCTGCATCACCAGAGCCCTTAGCTGGTGTTATGGCCATGTGTGCTGTAACGGGAATCCTGCATCGCGTCATGTAAGAAATAACACAGATAGGGTTTTTTGACTAGTGATAGGGACCAAAGAAAAATGAGAAAGTGTTGCTTGGTGCCTTGCTGCACATCACCAGCACTTCGGTGTGGGCCCAGGAAGAAAACCGGAGCCTAGAGCAGGGCCAGGATCTTCTTTCAAGCTTATCCATCTTCTGACCAGATCCTCTGCTTGCCACAGACCCTGTTATTTATTTCTCTTGGACCGTAGCCTTTGGTGCTGCCGTCTTCCCCTGGAGCAGCAGGAA